AGGTGGAGGTTGCGCATATTTTTAAGACCATTGTGTGTGGCACTGTGTTGTTGTTTTTTTAAGCACAAGTAGACACCTGAGCAAAACAGTTTCTCTCTTTAAAGTGACTCTTCCTCCACTCGGCACAGTCCTTGACAATAGGAAATTATGCCACACAGCAGGTGCCACATGCTGCCAGCCAGATTTGGAAGCACAGGTGTAAGTGACAGGCAGCGTAAGATCAGGGCCACGGATCACAGCCACCGGTTCTCTGGCGCAGTGCTGCCGTCTGTGACCAAGTTTTGTATGAACTATTTTCCTGGCCATTGCCAGGTTTTTATTTGCTCGGATTTATCGCCAATGCGGGTAACTTTGAATGGAATGACAAACTTCCCATCAAACAGTTCACCTTTTTGTTACTCCGAAGTCTCTGTTTGGAGACATTTCTCTTCTCACATCAGCAGTCACAGCCTCACCTCGCTGCCGACTGCCCTGGCTTTTCAGATCTACTCACTTTGAACTCATCAGTTGCTCTGCACCAGTTTTTCTTTGCAAATGCTCAGAATCACTCTTTATCTTACAAGTCATGCATTTTTGTGGCTTTCAATCCAATCTAAATGTAGAATTCTACTGAATACATCGGAGTGGAGGAAGAATCACTTTAAAAAGAGAAACTGTTTTATTCAAGCGTCTGCTACTTGTGCTGAAAAAAAAGAGAGAGAGAGAGAGAGACAGCCCCGCACAAAATGGTTTTTAAAATATACACAACCTCCGCCTAACCCACTCAGCACAGACTATCCCTCTAGTTTTTTGCCTTAACGTATTCACTTATCCAAAATGTTAAAAGGCAAATAGATACAGAAAACAGGACTATCAAGCCAAGGCACCATTAAAAACTTAAATAACCAGCCAGGTAATTGCTAACTTTCAAGAACAGATGTTACTTAAAATGCATGAGCATCCATTGAAACATTATACTAAGGTCCCAATTCAGCAAGGTAAGTAAGTGCCTTGTACTTAGCATGGGCTTAACTCTAAGCATGTCATCAGTCCCACTGAAGTCAATGCCATTTTGCATTCTGAAGCCCAGGGGAATACTGATGTGCCTACATTCAGTCTCTTGCTGAATTGGGTCCTGGATCCGGAGGAGATGCATGAGGCTTAATAATGAAGATTCACCTAGATCTACTCACTCCCCCTCCCCCAGGAGCAAATCAATGTGACTTGCCCACAGCGGAGCCGGAAGGCATATGGTAATACAGACTTGCAAAAACGTCAAGGAAATAAAACCTACCAGCTCCAGCAAAATTTTGCTAGCCGAGGCTTACCAGAAACACCAACGCACACAACACTCCCACCCCACACACTCATACAGCCATAGACACACACTCCTGGACAGACACACAGACACACCCTTCAGACCCCCAGGTAGACAGAGGGACACACACACCCGTCAGGTCCCTGGGTGGACAGAGGGACAGACAGACAGACACACACATCAGACCCCTGGATGACAGAGGGACACACTCATGCACACACCCATCAAACCCCTGGATGGACAGAGAGGGACACAGACACAGGTCAAAGCCCTGGCTGACAGAGGGGGACACACACACACACCCTTGTCAGATCTCTGTGTGGACAGAGGGACACACAAACATGCGCACACCTGTCAGACCCTGCTATTCCATCACTGCTTCACCCCTCCCCGCATGTCAGACACCCCAACTTTCCCTCATTCATCCTCCATATGCCCATAACGCCATGCCCCCTCCATTTCCTCCCACCCCCAGCTCATCAGTTCTGTGGTCTCTTCCACCTCAGCTGCACAAATTAATCAGTTTTCTGCTTCCCCGCACCCAAACCTGTTAGCTCTTCAGTGCGGGAGCAGCCATCTCTGCCCTAGCTGGGCAGGGGCCTCCCCGCTGCTCCTCAGAGCTCACGAACAGCGCCAGCTCCCCAGTCCCTAGGGAGGCACTGGTGTTCTACGAGGACTGCTGGGATCTTTGGCTCCTGCCCATCCTAGCTCTTGGGAAGGGGCCTCGGCTGCCGGGTGGGTGGCGGGTATAAGGCCAGTTCTGGGAACAGCTGGTACAGCAGGAGTGCTCTCGGTCTGGCCTCAGCTGGTGTCAAGTGGAGAGGACACAGGCACAGAGAACCCGTTAAATTTAACTCCTTCTCTCCCTCAGCCAAGAGGAGTAAGGAGCCTGGACAACTCACTCAGGGCCTTTGCAACTCTTTCTCCCTTCTCCATGCTGCGGACCTTAGCCAGGGTGAGCGGCGCACCCGCGATGGGTGTGCCCTCCTGGTGAAACCTGCAGCACAGCTTACACTCGAGTCGGGTGTTTATGCTTGCAACGAAAACCTTAAGGCCTAGAAACATGGGGCCTGGCTCAACTCTGATTCACTTCAGCACAACGCCGTTGAAATCAACAGACTGACGGAGAAACCCTGGAACACGGAGACTTCCACACCGGGAAAGACCTCGCCAAAAACTTTGAAGGATTCGCCTTTCCTCTTGTACATAGTTACCCATACAGTGTGTGAACATCACCCACCAGCGCTCATTGTATTTAAGCGTCTCTGAGGTTAGACGGGGAGGGCTCTGGTGGTTTCCACTGAGGTTTAGCTGCCAGTGCTTTGCTGGCAGCAGGCCCACCAACAGCAATTCCAGGCCCCAGGGCAGAATAGTCAATGGGCACAGCCAGGGCTTCCACATGCCAAACTGGCGGCCTTTGCCGGTACCACCCTGTGCATGCCTAGGAGCCCTGCGGCCCACCTGCGTGATTTAAAAGATCCTGGGGCTCCCAGCCGCCACGGCTCATCACCAAGGCAGTCATTCATAGTACAAGCTGCTAGGCCCACTCCTCGGCTGGTGTCAGTCGGTGTCGCCCCAGGGAGACAGCAATCGAGTTATGCTGATTTATGGTAGTTGACGATCTAACCCATCGCATGTGAAACAAAGCAATCAGACTATAACAGGGATTCCCATCATGTAATATGACCAGGCTTTGAGGGACAGATTATCCAGGCACAGCTTATGGGGATAGTAGGACCTCAAGATCATGTGGAAAACTCTGCTAGATGAGCCTGAGTAAGCCAGGCATTGCAGGAGGATGGAAAGGGGAAAAGGAACCAGGTGCTAGCACTAGGAGCTGCTCAGCTCGCAACAGCACCAGCAGCCGGGCTGGAGGAAGGAGGTGGGGATAAGACGGGGAGAAGGGCATGAGAGGCAGCTGGGAGCAAGTCTCACAGGCCAGAGAGACAGACTTGCGCTGGCGTGGCTCGGGCTAGAGCGCTCAAAACAGCTGCGGGACTTTGGCCCTGCGGCTTCGGTGGAGACTTGGACTGGCCACCCGAACTCAAGCCTAGGGGGGCGGCGAGCCTAAGCCTCTGCCAGAGCTGCAACGCCCACACACCTGTTTTTAGCCTTCTAGTGCAAGTCTGTCTACCCAGGCTGGGGGCTCACTCCCAGCTGCAGCATAGACATACCTACAGGTACCCAGAGAGACCAAAAACCGCAGGCAAAAAGGGTTACACTGGCTTCCCCTCCCCACTCATTTACGCAATGGAGGCATGGAGACCCATGATGCCCCGAGATGATCTGATGAAGTTACTCATACCTATGTGTAGCAGAGTGAAGTCCCTCACCCTGGATTCCTCTCTGCAAACACTCCTCACACACTCCCATGGCAAGTTCAACCCTGCGTGCTTCATTCACAAGGTGCTATATGAGGGCTTGTTCCCCACAACATGAGGCTTTCCCCTTCTCCCCAGACACACGATGTGGGGAAGAGATCTCACCTCCTGGAGATCCGGGGCTTCTCTTGCCCTTCCTTCCAGCCTCCCCCTTCCTGTCTCTCCAGTAACTGTCCTCTGATGACAAGCTGAATCACTCACCTTGTTTACTGGTTAATTGCCTCATTTATTTGCCCCATGTGGGAACGCTCACCACATGCCAAGAGTGGTGAGTCAGCCTGTGGCTACTTACACTGTGCTTTATCCACTGAGGAACGCTGCAGGCACTGTCAGTGGTTTGAATGTAAATGTAAATCACATTTGAACGTTAGAATGTAAATTGCGTTTCAAGGGTGCTAGATTTAAAAAAAAAAAAAAAAAAGGACAGAAATCCTGGAAGTTCTGAATTGAGTTCCCAAAATAGCCAAACCTCTGAAAGGAGAGAAATTCACAGTTAAGGCAGCCAAATCCCCTTAACTCTGCCTCTGTGGTGAAAGCAACCTCTCAACTTTCTTCCTTGCATGTGGCATATGGGAAATGTCCATGTCAGAACACATGGCTGTGTAATTTGTTTCACACCCGTATCTCTGAAACAAAGCAGAATGATGTGTTACCTCACCAACTGCTCTTTGCATGGTCTAGGCACATGAGATCTTTAGACACAGAGCTAGTGTGTCGCTGTACAGATGACATGTGACTCACTAGCTGGCATACACATGAGGTCACAGATCCCTCTCCTGTGCGGTACATGGCAAAAAGTGTTAGACTTTTAGAATGCCACTGATCCCCTCAGAACTTTGTCCGATCTCTTCAGATTTGATGGAAGGATCCCAGGTGGGACCCAGATATAACCTCTCAATTTGGAGACACATGCAGCTTTTGGGGGGATTTTAAATGGAGGCCAAACATCAGGCTCACCTGTTGAAACCTCAATTAACCATGGAGCAGGTACCAGCACCATAATGGGGGCTGCAAGGCAAAGCAATCAGTCACACTAGGGCTTAGGGAATCGCTCTCCAGCTATGTCTGGGTGAGACAAGGGTCAGTTCTGTGCAAACTGCGGAGCTGCCTCAAGCAAGAAGAGCTATTGTCATGTCGCTTTGGACCCCATTTCATGCCACGTTACTCCTGTTTGCTAACAGAAAAATCAATCCATTACTCTAATGGAATAAGAGACTTCACTTATGTTTAAGAATGACTTTCCTTGCCTTAAAGCCAGTCCCGCTCCAGCTGAGCTATGAAATCCCCTCCCTCAAACAAATGCAATTCTCAAAGTCACCAACCAGTAGGGATCAGGGTGTCATCCACAGGCAAGTAAGAGTCTGCTTCTATGGAGACCTCATGGTCGTAGATATCATGTGATCCCTAGGAGACAATGAAATAAATGTTTATACTTACACTGTACCCCTTACATGTGTCCAGGTACCTGTGCAGGGTGTTTTCCACTGGCAGTTATCAAACCACATGGACACTGACCACAAACTCCAGCAGAGCCCATGTCACTGGACTGCAGCGTTCAAACATTAGTGACTCTGAGCTTCCCTACAACTGGCACAGTCAGTCTCCACATTACCCAGTAAACAGAGAGAAGCAAAAGCAACCCTCATAATCCCAAGGCTTTAATCCCACTCCACTGCTCGATACACTCGCAGCCTAATCCATTTTCTATACACACTCAAGAACAGAATACTTGTCAGGATGACAGCTTGTATGTACTGCTAGAACAGCGGGTATACTGAAAAGCCTTGTCAACTGGACTGAGCCGGTAATTTCCGCACCCACAGCACTCCCCTCTGTCTGCCTGTCCTGCACTTCCTTATTGCTTTTTCCCCTAGTGCACACAGGGACGTTACTAGGGTAGAAGGTACCATATAAAACCTAAGGTAGACACTTTCTTGAGCCCGGATCCTCAGAGGTATTTAGGCACCTAACTCCCACTGGTTTTTTTTGAGGATCTGGGTCTTTGACTGAAAGATTTCTGGGACAAGGACTGTCTTTTTGTTCTGTGTTTGTACCCTAAAAAAATTGTAAAATAAAAAAAAGAAAGCAAAGATGCAGGCAACTGTGGCTAAACATGTTAATGCTTTTGCCAAACACACGCATAAGTGTAAAAAAAGTAAAAGTAACTGCTAAAATTGAAAAAAAAAAATCCCCCAAATCCTTTTCCAAATCATGCCAAACCTCATACTGCTGAAACCATTAAATCTTTGCTGCAACAAAAAATCATCCATAAATCTTCTTCAGTATGCAATTCTCTAATTTGGCCAGTACGAAAGCCAAATGGGTCATGGCATCTTATTATTAATTATCAAAAATTAAATTAAGTAACTCTAGCTTGTGCAGCTGTTGTATCCAAAATGCCTAACCCAATTAAATCTGTAAATCCCAAAGCAAAATGCTTTTTTACCATTGATATTGTCAATGGCTATTGGTCAATACCTGTTTGTAAGAAAAGTCAACACTATCTAGCTTTCCCAGTGAAGGGGGTTCAGCACACTTTCCAAGTTTTACCCTCATAATTCCGTAAAAGCCCAGCTATCTTTCATAAACAAATAAAGAACCTTCTGTCTAGGGTTTACAAACCATCTGTTTTATTTCAGTATGTAAACAACATTTGTTTAGCAACAAAAACAAAAAATCTAAAGTGCCTAAATAAGCTTTTAAAAATCATCAGAAAAGCAAAACTAACAGCAAAGTGTAACCCAACAAAGGCCACAAGCCATTTTGGCACTAAAGTAGATCAGAAGGTGTTAGGGTCACAAATGCTGCATGTTGTGTTTGGAAGTCTTTGTTCTAGAGGGCAAAAGTCCTTCTGGTTTGGAAAAGGAAGGTTTTCTTCTCTTGTGGCTGGTATTCTGTGTAAGTACGGGTCTGATCCTGCTTCCTCTGAAGCGAATGGCAACCTGCAAACTCCCTCCCCACCATACCCCCGACTGAAATAGGAGCAAGATCAAGCCCTTAAATATTTGTGTCACTTTCTAATCAGCATAATAACTTCTCACGCAGAGACACACACACTGCAGGTGTTATGTCTGCTCCACAAAATGTGATTATGCTGAAAATTATACTTGTTTACTTGGCCTTATCATTAACCAATTAACTATACACTGATGATTACACTGCAGTTGTTAAAACAATGGCATTGATATAGTTAAATTACACAGACATTCTAAAATATCTCTTTCTATCAAGCATGTTTCAAAGAGCCTTGTTATCTAAGTGTAAGGATGTAACAATGCTATCAGACGCTATCCTCACTGCACAGCAGTACCTGGGGGAATTATTTTCTAAATCTTTGCCTTCATGCCTGATTATAAATGTAATGAGAGTAAATTGTAACTGAGAGGCAGTATGGTCCACGTGGCAGGGCACGGTGACTCAAGAGACATGTTTCAGAGTAGCAGCCGTGTTCGTCTGTATCCACAAAAAGAACAGAAGTACTTGTGGCACCTTACAGACTAAAAAATTTATTTGAGCATAAGCTTTCGTGGTATATATCTTACTATATGTTCCATTCTATGCATCTGATGAAGTGGGCTGTAGCCCACAAAAGCTTATGCTCTAATAAATTTGTTACTCTCTAAGGTGCCACAAGTCCTCCTTTTCTTTTTTCAAGAGACATGGGCTCTACTCCCAGCTCTGCAGTCCACTAATTGGGTGACCTTAGACAATTCCCCTTCCCTTTCTGTGCCTTTGTTTTTCTCTCCTTCCAGCTGTTTTCTGTCTTGTCTAGTTAGACTGTGAGCCGGGACTTTCTCACTACATTTGTCTACAGCTCCTAGTGTGGGGGCCTTATCTCAGCTGGGGCTCTAGGCTCTAGTAGAATGAGGTCAGACCAAGGGATGTGTCAGTACAAAGTGAAGTGCCTATGACACTGGGATACACTTATATCATTTTTATTTGAGCATAAGCTTTTGTGAGCTACAGCTCACTTCATCGGATGCATGCAGTGGAAAATACAGTGGGGAGATTTTATATACACAGAGAACATGAAACAATGGGTGTTACCATACACACTGTAACGAGAGTGATCAGGTAAGGTGAGCTATTACTAGCAGGGGAGAAAAAAAACCTTTTGTAGTGATAATCAAGGTGGGCCATTTCCAGCAGTTGACAAGAACCTGTGAGGAACGGGTGGGGGGGGGGGGAAATAAACATGAGGAAATAGTTTTACTTTGTGTAATGACACATCCACTCCCAGTCCCACCTGATCAACATCCTATACAGCAAACAGGGAAAGATTAAGAATGAGCTCTCAAAACTGGATATTCTCATAAAAAACCAACCTTCCACACAAATTTCCCCGTGGCTGGACTTTACAAAAACTAGACAAGCCATTTACAACATACACTTTGCTTCTCTACAAAAGAAAAAGGACACTAAACTATCTAAACTACTACATGCCACAAGGGGCCACAACAGTGGTTCCCTTAAACCACCCAGCAATATTGTTAATCTATCCAGCTATACTCTTAGCCCAGCAGAAGAATCTGTCCTATCTCGGGGCCTCTCCTTCTGCCCTTCCACCCCCACGAACATGATACAGTTTGGTGTTGACCTAGAATCCTATTTTCGACGTCTCCGACTCAAGGAATATTTCTTACACACCTCTGAACAGCATACTAACCCACAGAGACCTTCCTACCAACACTATAAAAAGAAGGATTCTGGGTGGACTCCTCCTGAAGGTCGAAACGACAGACTTGACTTCTACATAGAGTCCTTCTGCCGACGTGCACGGGCTGAAATTGTGGAAAAGCAGCATCACTTGCCCCATAACCTCAGCCGTGCAGAACACAATGCCATCCACAGCCTCAGAAACAACTCTGACATCATAATCAAAAAGGCTGACAAAGGAGGTGCTGTTGTCATCATGAATAGGTCGGAATATGAACAAGAGGCTGCTCGGCAGCTCTCCAACACCACTTTCTACAAGCCATTACCCTCTGATTCCACTGAGGGTTACCAAAAGAAACTACACCATTTGCTCAAGAAACTCCCTGAAAAAGCACAAGAACAAATCCATACAGACACACCCCTGGAACCCCGACCGGGGATATTCTATCTACTACCCAAGATCCATAAACCTGGAAATCCTGGACGCCCCATCATCTCAGGCATTCGCACCCTGACAGCAGGATTGTCTGGCTATGTAGACTCTCTCCTCAGGCCCTACACTACCAGCACTCCCAGCTATCTTCGAGACACCACTGACTTCCTGAGGAAACTACAATCCATCGGTGATCTTCCTGATAACACCATCCTGGCCACTATGGATGTAGAAGCCCTCTACACCAACATTCCACACAAAGATGGACTACAAGCCGTCAAGAACACTATCCCCGAAAATGTCACGGCTAACCTGGTGGCTGAACTTTGTGACTTTGTCCTCACCCATAACTATTTTACATTTGGGGACAATGTATACCTTCAGATCAGCGGCACTGCTATGGGTACCCGCATGGCCCCACAGTATGCCAACATTTGTATGGCTGACTTAGAACAACGCTTCCTCAGCTCTCGTCCCCTAATGCCCCTACTCTACTTGCGCTATACTGATGACATCTTCATCATCTGGACCCATGGAAAAGAAGCCCTTGAGGAATTCCACCATGATTTCAACAATTTCCATCCCACCACCAACCTCAGCCTGGTCCAGTCCACACAAGAGATCCACTTCCTGGACACTATGGTGCTAATAAGCGATGGTCACATAAACACCACCCTATACTGGAAACCTACCGACCGCTATTCCTACCTACATGCCTACAGCTTTCACCCAGACCACACCACACGATCCATCGTCTACAGCCAAGCTCTGCGATACAACCGCATTTGCTCCAACCCCTCAGGCAGAGACAAACACCTACAAGATCTCTATCAAGCATTCTTACAACTACAATATCCACCTGCTGAAGTGAAGAAACAAACTGACAGAGCCAGAAGAGTACCCAGAAGTCACCTACTACAGGACAGGCCTAACAAGGAAAATAACAGAACGCCACTAGCCGTCACCTTCAGCCCCCAACTAAAACATCTCCAACGCATCATCAAGGACGACCCCTCACTCTCACAGATCTTGGGAGACAGGCCAGTCCTTGCTTACAGACAGCCCCCCAACCTGAAGCAAATACTCACCAGTAACCACACACCACACAACAAAACCACTAACCCAGGAACCTATCCTTGCAACAAAGCCAGTTGCCAACTGTGTCCACATATCTATTCAGGGGACACCATCATAGGGCCTAATCACATCAGCCCCACTATCAGAGGCTCGTTCATCTGCACATCTACCAATGTGATATATGCCATCATGTGCCAGCAATGCCCCTCTGCCATGTACATTGGCCAAACTGGACAGTCTCTACATAAAAGAATAAATGGACACAAATCAGACGTCAAAAATTATAACATTCAAAAACCAGTGGGAGAACACTTCAATCTCTTTGGTCACTCGATTACAGACCTAAAAGTGGCAATTCTTCAACAAAGAAACTTCAAAAACAGACTCCAATGAGAGACTGCTGAATTGGAATTAATTTGCAAACTGGATACAATTAACTTAGGCTTGAATAAAGACTGGGAGTGGATGTGTCATTACACAAAGTAAAACTTTTTCCCCATGTTTATTCCCCCCCACCGTTCCTCACATGTTCTTGTCAACTGCTGGAAATGGCCCACCTTGATTAACCCTACAAAAGGTTTTTTTTCTCTCCTGCTGGTAATAGCTCATCTTACCTGATCACTCTCCTTACAGTGTGTATGGTAATACCCATTGTTTCATGTTCTCTGTGTATGTAAAATCTCCCCACTGTATTTTCCACTGCATGCATCTGATGAAGTGAGCTGTAGCTCACGAAAGCTTATGCTCAAATAAATTGGTTAGTCTCTAAGGTGCCACAAGTTCTCCTTTTCTTTTTGCGGATACAGACTAACACGGCTGTTACTCTGAAACTTGTATCATTGAAGCAGAGGTTATTTAACGCTTTGTTAGCTGGTTGGGTTGTTCTGGGTCTCCTGGCACAGAAACAATGGGGAGTAGAATTAAAGAGCCATTTTCCCAAAAGTCATGAGTGGTAGTGAAGGAAAGTGTGGGCCCCTTACTAAATGAGGGAGGCAACCGAGTGACAGAGGATGTAGAAAAAGCTAATGTACTCAATGCTTTTTTTGCCTCTGTCTTCACGAACAAGGTGAACTCCCAGACTGCTGCACTGGGCAGCACAGAATGGAGAGGAGGTGACCAGCCCTCTGTGGAGAAAGAAGTGGTTTGGGACTATTTAGAAAAGCTGGATGAGCACAAGTCCATGGGGCCGGATGTGCTGCATCCAAGAGTGCTAAAGGAGTTGGCGGATGTGATTGCAGAGACATTGGCCATTATCTTTGAAAACTCATGGCGATCGGGGGAAGTCCCAGACGACTGGAAAAAGGCTGATGTCATGCCCATCTTTAAAAAAGGGAAGAAGGAGGATCCTGGGAACTACAGGCCAGTCAACCTCACCTCAGTCCCTGGAAAAATCATGGAGCAGGTCCTCCAGGAATCAATTCTGAAGCACTTAGAGGAGAGGAAAGTGATCAGGAAGAGTCAGCATGGATTCACCAAGGGAAAGTCATGCCTGACTAATCTAATTGCCTTCTATGATGAGATAACTGGCTCTGTGGATGAGGGGAAAGCAGCGGACGTGTTGTTCCTTTACTTTAGCAAAGCTTTTGACACGGTGTCCCACAGTATTCTTGCCAGTAAGTTAAAGAAGTATGGGCTGGATGAATGGACTATAAGGTGGATAGAAAGTTGGCTAGATTGTCGGGCTCAACAGGTAGTGATCAATGGCTCCATGTCTAGTAGGCAGCCGGTATCAAGTGGAGTGCCCCAAGGGTTGTTCCTCGAGCTGGTTTTGTTCAATATCTTCATAAATGATCTGGAGGATGGTGTGGACTGCACCCTCAGCAAGTTTGCAGATGACACTAAACTGGGAGGAAAGGTAGATACGCTGGAGGGTAGAGAGAGGATACAGAGGGCCTTAGACAAATTAGAGGATTGGGCCAAAAGAAATCTGATGAGGTTCAACAAGGACAAGTGCAGAGTCCTGTACTTAGGATGGAAGAATCCCATGCACCCGCTACAGACTAGGGACCGAATAGCTCGGCAGCAGTTCTGCAGAAAAGGACCTAGGGGTTACAGTGGACGAGAAGCTGGATATGAGTCAACAGTGTGCCCTTGTTGCCAAGAAGGCCAATGGCATTTTGGGCTGTATAAGTAGGGGCATTGCCAGCAGATCGAGGGACGTGATTGTTCCCCTCTTTTCGACATTGGTGAGGCCTCATCTGGAGTATTGTGTCCAGTTTTGGCCCCCACACTACAAGAACGATGTGGAAAAATTGGAAAGCGTCCAGCGAAGGGCAACAAAAATGATTAGGGGGCTGGAGCACATGAGTTATGAGGAGAGGCTGAGGGAACTGGGATTGTTTAGTCTGCGGAAGAGAAGAATGAGGGAGGATTTGATAGCTGCTTTCAACTACCTGAAAGGGGGTTCAAAGAGGATGGATCTAGACTGTTCTCAGTGGTAGCAGATGACAGAACAAGGAGTACTGGTCTCAAGTTGCAGTGGGGGAGGTTTAGGTTGGATATTAGGAAAAACTTTTTCACTAGGAGGGTGGTGAAACACTGGAATGGGTTACCTAGGGAAGTGGTGGAATCTCCTTCCTTAGAAGTTTTTAAGGTCAGGCTTGACAAAGCCCTGGCTGGGATGATTTAGTTGGGGATTGGTCCTGCTTTGAGCAGGGGGTTGGACTAGATGACCTCCTGAGGTCCTTTCCAACTCTGATATTCTATGATTCTATGACCCCAACAAGCTTCATTTTTTCTCAGAGTCAGGGAGTTTAAGGCCAGAAAAGACCAGGTGATCATCCAGTCTGCTCTGTACATCACAGGCCACTATCCTGTACGCAGTCCCTTCTGCACTTGCTTGGGAATCCAAACAGACTGAAAGAGTTACAGTAGCTTCTCCAAAAAGAAAAGGAGGACTTGTAGCACCTTAGAGACTAACCAATTTATTTGAGCATGAGCTTTCGTGAGCTACAGCTCACTTCATCGGATGTATACCGTGGAAACTGCAGCAGACTTTATATACACACAGAGAGTCTGCTGCAGTTTCCACGGTATACATCCGATGAAGTGAGCTGTAGCTCACGAAAGCTCATGCTCAAATAAATTGGTTAGTCTCTAAGGTGCTACAAGTCCTCCTTTTCTTTTTGCGGATACAGACTAACATGGCTGCTACTCTGAAACCTGTCATTATGCAAGTAGCTTCTCCTGGTGCCAAATTAGCTTCCCTGAGCACGCCATGTCCCTGATTGCCCTGAACCCCCTTGGACTGAGCTTTTCTGACCACCTACTCCACGAACAGCCCCAGAGTTTCCCTCTCTCATCGTGCAGCAACTTGCATATGGCTCTTGGTTCCCCGCCCCTCACGATGTATTAAAGTATTAGCTGTTCCAATGCTGTAGCAAGCAGAGTAAGATCACTGGACAGCGTAGCTCATGAGGGAGTTACGAGGCATTATGAGAGTTACGAGCCCACCATCTGAGCTCAGTGAGATGAATCCGGTCACGCTTCCAAAGCAGGAGAAGTACCAAGGATGATTATCTTACCTGGCCTGCTAGATTGAAGTAGGCATGGTTTGTCAGGCTAACAGGGGTAGTGTTGCTGCTTTGAGCTCGGTAGTTTATCACTAGTTCCCCACCATCGAGCGTGTAGGTCACCCAGGCTTTTAGTTCCCCAGGATACCCTTCCTCGCCATCTGGGCTCATTCTGGAGAAGCGTATGCCATTTAGCAGCACCTCCGGGGTCCAGAGAACCTGCAACAACAATTTTGTTGACACTCATTTCATTTCTCTACCCCGTTGAAACCCAGAGGCAAACAGAATTCTTGTTTACAGCTGCAGTGACATAGAAACCATTGTGAGACAGTAAACTTCTTAGGGCAGGGGCCTTTTTTGTTCCGTGCTTGTACAGTGCTTACCACAATAAGGTCCTGATCCATGACTGAGGCTCCTAAGTGACACTGTAATATAAATCATAATATTTTACTGAGTAACATCCTTCTCTTGTGCTACATGTTGGATTTAAACACAGGAAGAAGAGGCTGCCAATCAGTATTATTTCCCACTTCCTCAAGGTCCTATATATTTCAGATACATAATCTAAAAACAGATGTATATACTGCATTTTATCTTGAGGTCCTACAATCTACATTCAGGGATCACTTAGCCCACTCCTGGGGTGGGAGCTCTTCAGCTGCACACAGCTTAAAACAGGAAGTGAAAACAAACACTGTATCCAACTGAAATGACTAGGAGAAGTTGGAGGAACAGAACAACTGAAGCTGGAGTCCAATCGGAGCACTAGGGATAACTCTCAAACCCCTCTGATAAGTGTCTGATTAGGATCTTTAGGGTACATCTACACTGCAAAAAAACCCACCCGGCAGCGAGTCTCAGAGCCCAGGTCGACCGACTCAGGATCAGGCAATGAGGCTAAAAACAGCCGGGTAGATATTCCTGTTCAGGCTGGAGCTCAGGCTCTGAGACTCACACACACCCTGCCAGGTTTCAGAGCCCAGGCTCCAGCCCAAGAGGCAACATCCACCTGGCTATTTTCAGCGATGCAGTGTGAGCCCCACAAGCGAAGTCAGTTGACCTGGACTCAGACTCGCTGACATGGGTCTTTTTTTGCAGTGCAGACATACCCAGAATGACCACAAACAGTTAGGATCGCATCAGAAAGGCGCCATGCTCCCACAGCACCATGCGGAAGCACAGGTACGTGACCAACACAGAGCAAGGAATATCGTCCATGCTGAAGCATGTCCTTTGGGGTCACAAGCAGGCCCAATCCTGCTTAGCTTGTGAGATGCAAAGTCACACACATGTTGCTTACCCCTTTCTTCCCTCTTTTCCTTGCTTTCGTCTTTTATAGCACCATCAAGCTGAGCAAGAGAGGCAGCAATGCAGCAAGCTGCATTGTGAGGAGAACTCTCGCACGCCGCTTCACATCTCTGCGTACCTCACGTTACCTACCCCTGAAACAGGGCTAATAACCACTTTACCCGCCTTACAGTGTTATCCTGAGTATTAATTAATTCACGCTTGGAAAGTGCTTTGAGCTCCATGGCAGGAACGTGCTCTAAAAGGGGAAATCCTAGGCAAATTATAATCTTATGTATTTGCTTTCTGGGTTTGGGTCAGGACGGCACAGACTCTGGGATTTCCTCAGCTCTCTGGACACACAGACAGCAGGATCAATAACTAGTTGAATCGCAGTATTCTCATACCCCCTAGAGTTTCATCCTCCAAGTTCCCTAGTCAGCTTCCTTCTAATTGGAATGAAGTTACATCAGCCTGCTCTCTATTTGCCATGCTGAACAGACCTTCACATGCTCTTCTCTTTGCAGATGTGTGTGGTCTTGACCCAGACATAGAAATCAAATAATCAGGTCAATTGTAATGTGCCTTTCTGCAAGTGGGACTGCTGTAAGTGCTGACCCTGGGCTCTAAGCGGCTATACCACAGCGAGCATCCAGAGAAGGAAGGAGGTAGACAAATCTAGCTAGTGGTGAAGTGAGAGTCTGGCCCAGAGTGTAAAAACAGCTGCTCCAGTCAGTGGTTACTAACTCCTTGTCACATGACAAGGGTGTAATTTTATGTAACCCTGACCTATTTCATATAACTCAGACCCGGAAGGCAAGATCAGTTTCTTACCAGCTTTCTGGAGTGCCAAACATTATTTACCATATGGTCTGTGTGGTAGGAGATGTAGTCACAAAAATTATTGTTACTCTCTCCCTTCTCCCAGCTGTCAGTTTAACAACAGCACAGGACATTCTGTCCGATCCTAAGGTCAGAAGGGACCATTATGATCATCTAGTCCGACCTCCTGCACGATGCAGGCCACAGAAGCTCACCCACCCACTCCTGCGAAAAACCTCTCACCTAAAGAAATCTCTTCTTTACTCTTTAAAATAATCTTCAGAGAATGTTTAAAAAGAAATAATCTACATGTTTACAGTTACTACTACTGCAGCCAAGGCTTCAGTGATGACATTTTCTTTGTGCAGTAGGAGAAACCATAGAAAAAAAAATGTTACACATTTTTGGCCCACATCCTTCACTGATGTAAATGTGTAGTTCAGTGGAATTATCCTGATTTACCCCAGCTGAGGATCTGGCCTTTGGTTATACCAGAACGGCTTTGATAACATGACTATTCAGTAACATGACATCTACTGCACTGTGGTAAGAGCACTTCTCGGGTGATTAAAGGCCTTCCTGTTAGAGCCTGTCTAGACACGCTAACTAGCTGAAGGGGAGATCATTGACGTGACCATTCAAAGAAGCATCATTAAGGTTTTAGGGCCCCCAAAATCAGCATTCTATTCCTGCAAAAACTGACAATTTTTTTGAATGTTGTCACCCAGGATTAAAAGAACAGCACAAGCACACAAAACCCCACCAGCCATTAACAGCCATCCAAGCCCAGAACAGCAGCTTCATGGACAAAACCAGCTGTCTCAGAGATTTGCTATTAAATGAACACACGCTTCTACTTCGTTTTTTAAATTAAATATTGTGTTTTTTCCACCCATGACGGCTGTAAGGCAGCTGGAGCCCCATAGCTGCGGGAACTACAGGTGCAGGGGGTGCACAGACTTTGCACAGGGTCCCGGCTGCCAGCCCCGCACCCGGGGGGCTCTGCTGCTGGCCCCAGTCCCAGCCACTGGCACTGCACCTGGGCTCTCGGCTGCTGACCTGGGGTCCCAGCCGCCAGGCCCCGCGCCTGGCCACCTGGCCCCGCACCCGGCCCGGCACCCAGGGTCCAGGCTGTGGGGCTCTGCTCCTGACTCCAGCCCGGGGTTCCACACCAAAGCTGTGACTCCAGCCACAGCCCTCTTACCGTGTCTGCGTTCTCCCCTCCCGAAGCCACAGCCCTGCTCCTGGCCCCAGCTCAAGGGGGCGGTGAGGGACGCAGGCACAGCTCAGTACTCCCACTCTAAAAACTGTTCCAGCACCACTGTGAAGCCCTAGGGAAATTGGACTTGATCCTGCAAGGCGCTGAGTACTCTATTCCTGATTTAGCCAGGCACTTAAGCACATACTTAACTTCAAGCATATAAGTTGTCCTGCTGAATTCAATGGGACAGCTCATGTGCTTTAAGTTAAGTTGGTGCTTAGGGACTTTGCTGGATCAGGACCAGAGTGCTGGGCACCCTGCAGGATCGAGCCTCTACTAACATCCCAAAAGACAAGAGGCTGGGCCTGAGTGATTGAGGTCATGTGTATATCGGGAAATGATACTATCTGCATTGCCACTGCACCTAGGAACCCTGGTGATAGATCAGGCCTCCACTGTGCCAGGCACTGTACAGACACAGAACAAAAAGACAGTCTCTGCCCCAAGGAGCTTACAGTCCAAGTTTTGTATACTTATTTTTAGAAACTGAACAAAATACATATACAGATAACAAAACAAGGTTGTGATCAAACACAAATGGTTCTTTTAAAAGGCAGCCAATACAGGTCACAAAAAAGACACTGATACTTCTATGGGAAGTAAAATGGCAAAGAGTGTTTTTAAAAAAGGGGATACCTGGCATTAAACTTTATCTTGATCTTTAAACATGGGTCCCCAATGCAAAGCTGCAATTCCTGCACTTTGGAGGACATGAGCCAGCTCTGACAGCAGACTTTGTTAATGCTATATACAGGTTTTTCTGTAGCTAACTGAAAAGAACAGAGCCAACAAAATCAAAATTTGTAAGTGTGAAAAAAATGGGTTTCATAGAAAATATTTGGAAGATATTTCAGGAAAATATCTCAGGCTTATCATAAAGTCCATTCATCTCTCCAACCAGAAAGGACATAATGCTATACAGTAACCTGCCTGGGAACCTGTGACTAGGATGACTTCATGCTGACCACAACACTGCGGCCAGCTAGATGACAAATGGTTCTGCTCAACACCACTCAGCTAGTCATGGCTAACAGCTATTACACGGCTGACACATCCAGAACTTGTCTACTCAGCACTCTTAACTTGAGCACATCCAATTGAGTTTAAACACTGGGCAGTTTTCAAATGTAGACAAGTACTGAGAAAGAGACTTACACTGTTGAAAACTCCTTGTTTAGTTTTTTTAGAGTCCATTTGACTCCAGCGTATAATGAGTATTTGGGATAAGAGATGTCTTTGCTAAAATTAAAACTGAAGAGGTCCCTGCCACAGCAAGGGGAAACAGAACCACAGGAAGGAGAAATGGCTTTCCACAGTCATCCAGCAGGTAGAGTCCAGCCCCAGACTAGCTGTAGTGGCCAATTCTGCAGCAGACAATATTCCTAATTAGGGGCAGCTTACCAGCTGTAAAAGCTGCTTGGTGCAAATTGCAGGGATTGGGTGTTTTAATTGTACAGAGCTGAAGGATCATTCTAAAACAAGGAGATATTAGCGTGATAAGGAAGCCATTTGGAAAGAGTGTCAACTTTCAAGGTACAGAAAGCTTGTCCTCAAACATCAATAACACAGGGCTAAAGCATACTAAAATCAACCTCTTGCTTTAACAGGATGCCCCTGATTGAAAACAAGGGAGATCAGAATCAGTTTGATGATGATCAGATTTACCTTGTCAAACCCTTTGTTCCCTCCATGCAGGCTGTTGGGTGGGTTGTTGAGGGCCAACTGATACTCTTTTCCTTCCACTGTGAATTTCCCGTTAGCAATTCTGTTAGCAACTCGCCCAATAGTGGCTCCAAAATAGGGGTGTTTGTTGACATAACCTAACAAAATAAATGAGTCACCATTCAAAACAAAGTTCAGTTTTACTGTGATCCCTAGGGCCAGGCAGATGGAGCTCAGAAAGTAGGGTTGGGAGGGGAAAAACAGTCCTGGCAATAAGACAAGGATCCTAATTTAAGATGAGAACATAGAAGGTGTCTGCAAGTCTCCATTTGTTTACTGATTTGAGTTCTAGAAGGCATCCCCAGTTGCGCATTTTGGAGGTGCACGACCATTTCCATCACACCTAACAACTACCCTGCACTCCTCGTGCCCTTCCAGAATGGGAGAGTTTCATTCCTCAGGAGTTTCAAAACTCATGGCTGCAGAACAGGGAACTGTGGAATTTACGGTCCCTTTACAAGAACAGTTATCTAAACAAGATGTACATGTTAAAAAGCCAGGAAATGGAGAGCTAAGGTGACACTCCCCATCCACTGTAGCCACCTGCAGCACTAGGCTGATGCATTAGCCACAAGGCAATCCTTCCTGCTAAATGGAGGTGAGGCATTCTCTATGCAGATCTCAGCCAGGCGGTCACCTCCAAACCATGCTGCTGTAAGAGGCTTGCTCAGCATCCCAGAGGCAGGCTGTGGGAGAGCCCAGGACAGACACTAGATCTCCTGAGCCCCAGTACACTGCCACAGCCACAAGACTGTCTTTTTGCTGCTTGCAGGCCCTGCCCTAGTCACCATCAATATATGTACACTCTGTTGCTGCCTAGGGCAAGTCACCTTGGCAGAGTCACTTAAAAGGGCGGCATTTCTGAGGAGAGGAGTCTTGGGCCAGTCTTTAGAGACTGGATCTATTCCTGGCTTTGGCTGAAAGGCCCTTGAGCAGCTGCTTATTTGCTAAATAGAGGAAGGACTGTCATCTCCCATCAGGACAGGGATATAGGCAGCCTGGGTTACTATTAAGAGCGATGAAATGCATAGAAATATTCCCCACAGTCACAGGAAGAAATTTTAATTCACGGTTTCTAGCTCCCAATTCAGTTCCCCTTCCCCTGTGGTATATTACGTGGGATGGTCTCCCTAACAATCTCTCACTGCTGCAGGAGAAGAACACGGCTCACAGCAGCTGAGCTCACAAAGCAAACTCCAATAGCTTGCAGGAGTTCTGATGCTAGGTCTCAGCAAGGGCAGTGCAGCGATGGGGGCTTCATGGGGATAGAGCCCCCTGTCTGGTCCATATCTGTGCATTATGAGATGGCTGACACTTAAAAAACAGGTCTTTTTCCTTTTGGTGAAGGGCTGGGAGGGTCTGTACTCTAGTCTAGAGAACACGGTCATTCACGGTCACCAAATTTTCACCCCAGACTTTACCCAGACTCTGAACTGACAGGCCAATTTTTGAGCCATTCTAACTAGGCATGTGGATTTTAGAGAGGTTTGAAAATTACAGCCTACACAGAAACAAATTAGTGCTGTACGATAGCAACACACGCACCCTATTAACCAGAGACACCAAACCCATCCATCCAAATCAACTCCATTCCTCGGGCAAAAGGCCAGATTAATACATGGTCTCTGCTCTGCTCTCAGATTCTCCATTGAGAATGGAAAGCAGAATTTGGATGCCTACTTTCATGCAAATTTGTGAGATAGCAAGGAGGGAATGCATGAAATAAAAGCAGTCTGATGTGTGTCTGCCACAGAGCTGCCAGCAAGTCTGTGTTCCCTTCTGGAGCTAAGCGAGCATTCGGAGTGCTTCCTCAGTCTTCGGAAGAGGCAGGAACATGGTCCCAATGTGACAGCTGGGGCATTCTACTCTCAACTGTCACCCCATGGTGCTCCAAGTGGCTCATATAATTTGCCTTAAAAACAAGAAGAAAGCACCTATTTGCAGTCAGGCGGTAACTGAGCGGCTGCTTGTTGCAGGACTCAGGGCACTCATCCATGCTGCGTGCCTCGCTCAGATCTGTCTAGGGATACAATGACCTCAAGGCAGCCATTCCCCATCAAGCCTTATTTTATGGGCTTTCCAAAGGCCCAGCTCAGCGTAACGCAGAGTAACCCCTAGCCTGAGGAATCCCATCCATTTCAGTGGCCAAGATGGGCAGAATCAGGAACTAAATGGTTTTAAGAACTAGACTCAGCAGAGTAACAGACGGGCCTGTTAGCTCCCCTCTAGTAAGGTGCTAGTCAGAAAGGTCCACTCACATCCCTCGCTCCTGGAGCCCTGAACATACAGGCTTGTCCTCTCAGGCCCCTACCATCGACATCGCTGTCCCTCCTCTCCATACAAAGCACAACTGCTTGGATCACTTACTCTGTCTGCCCTCCCCCCCCCGAAGCCTCTCCACCTGTTCCCCTCTTTCTCCACATTGGGGTCAAGCTACTTCTCTTCACTTCATGGGTCTTCCTGATTCTGCACTCACTGCATGCCCATTCCCGCCTCTTGTCCACCAACCCCGCCTGCTCGGCTGCACCAAGGTTGCCAGCCTCCTCCACCCCCTTGTCAGTTCTCACACAGACCGCCCTGCGCACACCCGCCCTGAACTAATCCGTAAGTCCCCAGCCTCTCCATCCCCAGCACCCCGCTCTGCAGCCGGGGATTGACAACACTGACAGGTTTCAGAGTAGCAGCCATGTTAGTCTGTATTCGCAAAAAGAAAAGGAGGACTTGTGGCACCTCAAAGACTAACCAATTTATTTGAGCATGAGCTTTCGTGAGCTGCATCTGATGAAGTGAGCTGTAGCTCACGAAAGCTTATGCTCAAATAAATTGGTTAGTCTCTAAGGTGCCACAAGTCCACCTTTTCTTTTTGCAACATTCACAGTGTTATTAATTATCTGTATGACCCTAGTGCCTAGGAGCCCTAGCCATGGACCAGAACCCTTCTGTGCTGCATGCTGTACAAACAGAACAAAAACATGGCCCCTGCTCCATTTTCAAGTTTCGCAAGCCTGACTCTGATCTCGCTTGCAGAGGTGTGTAAATCAGGAGCAACTCCCCCAGTGCAACCGACAGAGAGACACTTGGGTGCTTAGAGGTAAAGGTTACACACTGGGCAGGGACTATCCCATTTTGTGGTTGTACACACCTAGCAAAATTTATCTAAGGTCCTCCTATGGCTCCCATCACCATATCTGAGCACTTCACATGCTGTTGCATTTATTCTCACAGCTCTGCAGGGCAGGACGATTATCCCCTTGTACAGTTGGGGAATTGAGGCACAGAGAGGCTAAGTGACTTCCCAAGGTCACAAAAGGAGTTTGTGGCAGAGCAGGTAACTTAACCCAGGATCTCTTAAGTGCCAGCTTGGTTCCCTAACCATCGGATCATCCTTCTTCTCAAGGCTTCATTCTTGATTGGGGCCTCTAGCTGCTATAGTAACCAAAACTATAATAATGTATATCATTGCCATAAGAATGACTCTACTGGGTCAGGCCAGCGGTCCATGTAGCCCAGTGTCCTGTCCCTGACATTGGCCAGTGTCAGAAGCTTCAGAGGGAATGCACAGAACAGGGCAATTTTGAATCCTCCACCTCTATTGTCCAGTCTCAGCTTCCGGCAGTTGGAGATTTAGGTACACCCAGAGCATGGGGTTACAACCCTGACCATCTGGACCTGTTCTCCAGGAATTTATCTAATTCTTTTTTGAACCCAGTTCCATGGGATGACTGTGTGTTGTTTAAAGAAATACTTCCTTATGTTTGCTTTAAACCTGCTGCCTGTTAATTTCATTGGCAATCCTTGGTTCTTGTGTTATGTGAAGGGGTAAATAACTCTTCCTTAATGGCTAGGAAGTGGTATGGTTGGTAAAGCAAAAAGAGTTAAAGGACATTAAAACTGTACTTTTGCTCTAGAAGGAGTATTTGTATGTTTACAGTCTTGGGACATGTTTTCTGTGGACCTGATTGCCACCATTGCTTCTGCAAGTACACCAGATCAAACAAAACTGACAGCAGCTGGGAGGTGTGATTTTATAGGTTTCAGAGTAACAGCCGTGTTAGTCTGTATTCGCAAAAAGAAAAGGAGTACTTGTGGCACCTTAGAGACTAACCAATTTATTTGAGCATCCGCAAATCCACTGATTCGCGGATGCTCAAATAAATTGGTTAGTCTCTAAGGTGCCACAAGTACTCCTTTTCTTTTTGTGATTTTATAGACCTCTGTCATATCCCCCCCCTTAGTCGTCTCTTTCCTAATTGTACAGACCCAGATGCTGTGCTGTGTTGAAAGTCTTTGTTCTAAGAAGCAAAAGTCCTTCTGGGCTGGGGAAGGAAGTTTTTCTTCTCTTGTGGTTGGGCTTCTTGTGTAATATGGGTCTGATCTTGCTTCCACGGAAGCAAATGGCAACCTGCAAACCCCCCCCCCACACACACACACACTCACTCACTGAAATAGAAGCCTCTCCATTGCCTTGAACATAAGGTAGTCACTCACAGCAGAGTGGGTGGATGGAACACAGCACCACTCGGATATGGTAGTGTTTGGACTACAGCAGAGGACTACGCTGGGGGCAGGGCCATGGAGAACCAGGGGCCTAGTGAGAAGTACCTTAGAAAAGGATCAGAAAGAAAATAACCAAGAAGCTAGGTCAATGCATATTTCTTTGAAAAAATGGATTTAAACCCACCTTCCAAGCGATCAAAGCCCAGGACAATGTCGGAGAGGTTCCCATCCCTGCCTTTGGTTTCCAGTGCAGTGATTATACAGCCTAAGGAGATAATCTCCACTTTAACACTGTCTGATTTCAGCAGGAACTTTTCAACAGCCCCTCCTCTTCCTCCCTTCTGAGGCAAGTGTCCAAACACCTCTCTGGTCACCTCTGTCATTGCTCCCCACAGCCGGACGTCTCTGGAACACAAGCAAGAAACCACAACAGCAAGGTAAGCAGAGGGCTGAGGAGGGGAAATCCAGAGAGCAGAGACAGCAGCAAGAAAACACACACTGCAAACAGGGCAGGGCTTGGAGCCAGGAAATCACATGATCCTCCCCCAAGCAGGCCAAGCCAGAGAAGCAGGCAGGGATAACCTGCCCCGCACCCTTTCCTGGCCCCCCTCTGAAGCAAGGAGCCAGCCAGTAATCTGCTAATCAGAAACTGAGCTGCAACCTCAGCTACAGCCGACTATCAGCTGCTCCATCCCGTTTCAGAGAGCAGATGAACACTGCAGGGCCCAGCACGCAAGGCTGGATTTTGATATGACATACGAGCAGCCAGCCGTTCAGCTCCAGGTGGAGGATTGCATGCTGGGATATACAGTCCACGCTTCTGGCCCCAAGAGGGGGAGCGCTGTACGCTGTGGCCTGTAGTTTTGAGACCTGAGCTAGAATAAAAGGGAAGAGAGACTTTCAAAATGCAGGATTGCCAACCCCCAGGGTTCAAAAATCTGGACACAGACCCCCAAAATCACCAGACTGGCTTAAAAATCATTAGATTTAAAAAATAATACATTGTGGGCTCATTTTATTTCCCTTCTGGTGTTTGAGTTTTTATGATACACTGAGATCACATTTCAAAGTTTTTTTCTGCAATCAGGAGGACTAGAAACTTACTCAATACGGCTCATGCTCAAATAAATTGGTTAGTCTCTAAGGTGCCACAAGTACTCCTTTTCTTTTTAGAAACTTACTGTTGCTTTAAAAGGAAGCTGAGATTCTCCCATAAGCACCTGACTCTGGCAGCTGGGGGATTTAAGACAATCACCAAATATGGCAAGACCCACAATAGAATTCAGAGTAACAGCCGTGTTAGTCTGTATTTGCAAAAAGAAAAGGAGGACTTGTGGCACCTTAGAGACTAACTAATTTATTTGAACATAAGCTTTCATGAGCTACAGCTCACTTCATCGGATGCATGCAGTAGAAAATACAGTAGGGAGATTTATATACACCGAGAACATGCAACAATGGGTGTTACCATACACACTGTAAGGAGAGTGATCACTTAAGGTGAGCTATTAGCAGCAGCAGAAGAAGACGGGGGGGAAGACATTTTGTAGTGATAATCAAGGTGGGCCATTTCCAGCAGTTGACAAGAATGTGTGAGGAACAGCGGGGTGGGGGGAGAAACTTATCTACAATAAATTGTCTACAGCCAAGCTCTACAATACAACCGCATTTGCTCCAACCCCTCAGGCAGAGACAAACACCTATAAGATCTCTATCAAGCATTCTTACAACTACAATACCCACCTGCTGAAGTGAAGAAACAAACTGACAGAGCCAGAAGAGTACCCAGAAGTCACCTACTACAGGACAGGCCTAACAAGGAAAATAACAGAACGCCACTAGCCGTCACCTTCAGCCCCCAACTAAAACCTCTCCAACGCATCATCAAGGATCTACAACCTATCCTGAAGGACGACCCATCACTCTCACAGATCTTGGGAGACAGGCCAGTCCTTGCCTACAGACAGCCCCCCAACCTGAAGCAAATACTCACCAGCAACCACACACCACACAACAGAACCACTAACCCAGGAACCTATCCTAGCAACAAAGCACATTGCCAACTGTGTCCACATATCTATTCAGGGGACGCCATCCTGGGGCCTAATAACATCAGCCACACTATCAGAGGTTCGTTCACCTGCACATCTACCAATGTGATCTATGCCATCATGTGCCAGCAATGCCCCTCTGCCATGTACATTGGCCAAACTGGACAGTCTCTACGTAAAAGAATAAATGGACACAAATCAGACGTCAAAAATTATAACATTCAAAAACCAGTCGGGGAACACTTCAACCTCTCTGGTCACCCGATTACAGACCTAAAAGTGGCAATTCTTCAACAAAAAAACTTCAAAAACAGACTCCAAGGAGAGACTGCTGAATTGGAATTAATGTGCAAACTGGACACCATTAAATTAGGCTTGAATAAAGACTGGGAGTGGATGTGCCATTACACAAAGTAAAACTATCTCCCCATGTTTATTCCCCTCCCCCCCCCCCCCCGCCACTGTTCCTCACACGTTCTTGTCAACTGCTGGAAATGGCCCACCTTGATTATCCCTACAAAAGGTTTTTTTTCTCTCCTGCTGGTAACAGCTCACCTTACCTGATCACTCTCGTTACAGTGCATCCAATAAAGTGAGCTGTAGCTCACGAAAGCTTATGCTCAAATAAATTTGTTAGTCTCTAAGGTGCCACAAGTCCTCCTTTTCACAGTAGAATTGTGAGCATTGGCAACAATTATAACTTGTCTGTGCTGGAGAAGAAAGGCAATCTGTATCCGCTGCATGTCACCTACTATGACCTGGAAGTTATATGTACTAGAAATCACATTGGAGACACTTTCCTTCAGTACTGCCAACCCCCATTCATGCTAAATCACGAGTCAGGGCCTCAGAATCATGAGTTTTATTAAGATAATAAATGTTTAGGGGGTTTTTTTGTTTGCCTTCTGGGTTTGTGCCTTTAAAGGGTCACATTCTCAAGGTATTCTCCACCATTAAAGGCTGGAAACTTAATTTTTAAATGAAAGCTGAATTTCCCATTTAATCACAGGACTCCAGGACCTGGAAATTAAGAAACATACTAAATATCATGAGTCTCACAATAAAACCACAAGAATTGGCAACCGTGCTTTTAACTCCTTTGAAGTTGAGATCTCTGGAGAGACAAGATATACTCTTCTCCCATATCATGGCAGTATTTGCCATGCATTATTTAAGTACCATGCAGGTCAACAGCTTGGTATTTCTAGGAAGTATGACATTAAGGGAGTAAAATAAGTGTTCAAATATCCCTAGGTCCCAATCCTGTAACACCTGCATCACTTTACTCACATGAGTAGCTCCTCTGAGTTCAATGGGGCTATGCATGGGAGTAAAGCAAAAGGGCCATTCACACGGGTTGCAGGATCAGGACCTTAGCTAGTAGATTCCATTGTTTTCAGCATTTGTGTTCTTTAAAATATCACTTGTGCAGTCCCAACTTAAAGTCAAGCAGGTGTGGCTGGATTGTAGCATTGAGTAAATCAAAATAAAATCAGTATGAAAAACAGAGGCTTTTGGCAATTAATGTCTTGTTATTGATTTTATTAAATTTATAAACTTGATTATCTGTGAAGCATGGACACTGACAGTCTTTATAACAAGCAGCAACATCTGCTACACATTTGGAAATGGATGGGAGAGACGATTTTTGTAAGTCACAGTGTTGATATTTTTGCATTTACATTATCATGATGATTTATCCTTTGTAATAGGAGATGCCTTGTGGTCCCAGTCAGGATGGAGGTCCCATTGTGCTAGGTGCTGTATCAGTGCACAGGTAGACAGTTCCTGCCCCAAACACCTAACTTGCCTGTCACATTCACTTGTGTCTTTAACAAGAGGAGGGAAGGACAATGAGGAGAGTGAATTTGTGTGGGGGGGTGGAGGGCGAGAAAACCTGGATTTGTGCTGGAAATGGCCCAACTTGATGATCACTTTAGATAAGCTATTACCAGCAGGACAGTGGGGTGGGAGGAGGTATTGTTTCATATTCTCTGTGTATATATAAAGTCTGCTGCAGTTTCCACGGTATGCATCCGATGAAGTGAGCTGTAGCTCACGAAAGCTCATGCTCAAATAAATTGGTTAGTCTCTAAGGTGCCACAAGTACTCCTTTTCTTTTTGCGAATACAGACTAACACGGCTGAAACCTCTGAAACCTGTTAGGATATAGATATTCAGGCCTGTCTGCAAAGGCCTATACTTTAAGAATTTAGGTGTATGTTTATCATTTAGATAGTTACAGAAGTATAAAAGAAAGAATCAAAATTACTGCCTGTATAAGGCATTTTCTCACTGTGACAGTCTGAGGCCCTGTTCTTAGGTAAGGCCTCTGGGTAAGCACCAGAAGCAGCCATAAACTGGGAAGCGACCCGTCACCTCCTCACATTCCAAACTAGTCACATTGAAATCAGGTGCTATTGGGCTGTTAGGCATTATCAGAACAGGACTGTATTCCTATCACCTTCAGAGAAAGGGAAGAGCCTAGAAGATGTAAAAGGAAACCTAGTTTGATAGCATCCTGTCTGGCAAGAACTCACTTATCAATAGCTGGGATGTGAAATCCTCATTTCTGTGTTTGTTCTATCACTGTAGTCCCCATTTCCCTATTGTTTGTCTGTATAATCTCTGTCTGATTCTGTGATTGTTTCTGCCTGCTGTATAATTAATTTTGCTGGGTGTCAACTAATTAAGGTGGTGGGATATAATTGGTTAAATAATCATGTTACAATATGTTAAGATTGGTTAGTTAAATTTCAGTAAAATGACTGGTTAAGGTATAGCTAAGCAGAACTCAAGTTTTACTATATCTGCAGTCAATCAGGAAGTGTGCGGGGGGACTTGAAATTATGTTTTGCTAAGGGCGGGAATGGGAACAGGGAATGGGGGTGGGGAAACTGGAATCATGTTTTGCTAAGGGGGGGAATGGGAACAGGGCCACAGGTAAGACCCTGTGGTGTCAGAGCTGGGAAGGGGGACACTAAGGAAGGAAACTGGAATCATGCCTGCTGGAAGTTCACCCCAATAAACATTGAATTGTTTGCACCTTTGGACTTCAGGTATTGTTGCTCTCTGTTCATGCGAGAAGGACCAGGGAAGTAAGTGGGTGAAGGAATAAGCCCCCTAACAAGGATACAAAACTAAGATCATGTAGTTACATAGGTCACTACTTTGCAGCATGATGGCCCCATATACCTAGAGGAGCATTAGAAGAATATGAAATAAATACAGCTTTCCCCACTTGCCGTATTACTAGAGCTGGACAGAAGATGGGGGAAAGAGTGTTCATAGAGAATTTTGAAAAGAGTTAAAAGAAAATAGTTTTTGCTGAAATGTTCCATGGAAATCTTCAACTTCTCATTGAAACTGAAAAGTGTGGGGATTTGGTTTCTTGATGAAAAGTCAAAATTTTCCATGGGAAAGACACTTTTTGCAGGGGGAAAAAGGTTGTTTCATTTTCTGTCAAAAACCAGTTGTGATGGAAAATATCCTACTAACCCTACCTATTGCCTGTAAACATAACAGAAGTCTGGGGTTTGAAGAAAGAGGGCAGTAGCCTCACGGGTTAATTCCAGGAGGACATCCCATGCATAGTACACAGCATGGAAGGAAGTATGGAGCTGGTTGCAACACAGACAGACATCTGGGCCTTAAAGGCCGGCCCCATTGCACTGACTCTGTCACTTCACCAATCAAAGACTTGCAGATCCCTGGGGAGGGCTAGAGTCTAAGGTG